ACACACACACACACACACAAACACACACTCACTCACACACACACACAAATACACACACACACATACACACACACACACACATACACACACTCACTCACAGATGGACACACACACACACTCACTCACTCACACACACAGACACTCACGCACAGATGGACACACACACACACATACACACACACACACACACACAGAGTCATACACACACACACACTCTCTCTCACACACACACACTCACTCACTCACAGATGGAAACACACACACACACACGCACACTAACAGATGGACACATACATACACACACACACACACACACACAGGGACACACACACTCACAGACACAAACACACACACACACATAGACACATACAGGGGCACACACATACACACATACACAGGTAGACACACACGCACAGACACACACAGGGACACACACACACACACGCACAGACACACACACACACACACACACACACAGACACAGACACAGGGACACACAGACACACACACACACTCAGGGACACACACACACAGCCACACACACAGACACACTTGGAGAGACACACACACAGAGATAGACACACACACACATACATCCACACCCACACACAGACACAGACACACAGGGAGAGACACACACAAGTCACACACACACACACATTCATACACACAGATACACGGACACACACACGCACAGACACGTGAGTCAGCTCCAGTCAGGTAGAAGTGGGGTACATTTCAACTTTCAATGCAACAAGCTGGTGACAGTGAATTAGCCTGTGTCACACTGTTTCAAGAACTACAATTCTGCAGAGAACTGAAAGGGATCACCATCGCCCTTTCTGAACCATTGTAACGTTCTAAGTCGTCTCTTGAGGGAGCCAACACTGAGACCAACATTTTAATTGGGTTCTGACGGGAGATAGAAGCATTGGAAGAGCTTTGTGAGATTGTGGAAAGGCTGGAGCAAGGGATTGATTCTTGTCCTACCGGTCAGCATTGGCTAATCCTTAAGAGCAGAAAAGACATTCATGTGAATGGAGAGTCAGGTGGCAAATTCCACCGAGGAATTCTGCAAATGCATTCACAGATTAGCAGAGCGGTGATAGTCCGGCACACGTAGAAACTATTTCACTTACTGCAGCCATGGAGTTGATGCGATCAATGTAGTAGTCAGGCCAGCTTGTGGCCTGCTTGTTGGGGTCATCTTGTTCCTGAAAAGAAAGGAGTGATATTCCATTAAAATTTAGATCATAAAATATTGCCAACCAACCTACACAAATGTCAAGATGTAGCAATGCATAGCAGAACATTATTTAGAGTGGTATGGTCCAGCATGGTATCCCTCAACAGTGTGGCATAGTGGAGCATAAAATCAGAAATGGTTTCAGGCCAAAAGGAAGCCATTTGGCCCGTCGTGTCCGTACTCGCTCTCTACAAGAGCAAATCACCCATTGCCACTACCCCTTTTCCCCAAAGCACACAGTTTTTTTTTCCTTTTCAGATACTAATCCAATATTAAATGTCATAATTGAATCCTCCTCTGAATACAAGGATATGATTCGGCCCATTACATCTGTGCTAGCCCTTTTGAAGAGCAGTTCAATCAGCCCCATTAACCTATCCCCATGCATTTGTCCAGACATTTATCCAATTCTCTTATGAATCTGCATCAATTAACCTTTCAGACAGTGCATTCCAAATCTTAGCACTCACTGTATAAAAAGTACTTTTCCTCAGGTTGTCTCTGTTTTTTGACAGTCACATTAAATTTATCTTCTATCAAAAACACTTCATGATTCTGACACCTCTGTAAAATCTCTTCTCTGCTTTAATGAGAACAACGCCAGCTTCTCCGATCGATCCATGTGATGGTAATCCCTAACTCAAAAAAGAAACATTCTCGGAAATCCATTCTGAAGCCCCGTCCAGAGCCTTCACACAACCTCTGGCATTGGACACGATATCCCAGTTTTGGTCAAGCCAGCGTCTTATAAACTCAATTAAAAACTGAGAGTAGCTGCAGAAAGCTCTGGCTGTGTCTGCAGAGAGAGAAACAGAGTTAACGTTGCAAGCCTGACATGACTTCTTCAGAACTTATATTCTTAGCCTACCTCGTTGAGTTCAGACACTATGCCTCTATTTGAAGAGCCTAGGATTCCTAATGCTCCATTCATTGCTTTGCTCACCTGTCCCTCAAGTTTCAATAATTGGTCCACTAACACTCAGAGGTCCGTGCACTTAAAAACCCCTTTAAAAATGAACGACTTAGCACATATTACCTCTTTTCGCTCCACAAATCAAAATTTACTGCCTCACACTTTTCCATATTGAATTTAATCTCCCATATGATTCCCGAAGTTTATTAATATTCTCCTCAAACACTGGCTTGGTTCAAGAACAGTATCAACAAAAGAGTGACGATGGTACAACACAGCACAGTGTGGTATGGTACAATATGGTACAGTACTGTAGAGTGCAACATTGTAGAGCACAGGACAGTGCAGTGCAGCTAGGGTTGATACAGCACAGCATGATACAGTATAGCACAGCACAGGATATGGGAATCTGGAAAATGTAGGACGGCACAGTAGCGTATCACAGAGCCAGGTTCAATTCCAGCCTTGGGTGACTGACTGTGTGGAGTTTGCATGTTGTGTGCGTGTGTGTCTGTGTGCGCACACACGCTTCATCTGGGTGCTCTGGTTTCCTCCCACAGTCCAAAGATGTGCAGGCTTGGTGGCTCATCCATGGGAAATGCAGGGTTAAGAGGATAGAGTGGATCTGGGTGGGATTCTCTTTGGACGGTCCATGTGGATTCAATGAGCTGAACTGCCTGCTTCTACACTGTAGGGATTCTATGAAGAGCTTCCCATGTTGTTGCAATTCAAAATAAACTCATGGGATCAACCCTCAGAAAATATATATCCTCGCTACATTCCAGTGTTTAACCATTAATCAATACCCTATATTTGAAGAGGTTTATCAAGTTAATACCTTGAGTTTTCCTTCTCACACTGGATTGCAGGTTCTGGACCTACTCTAGCTAGTCTGTTGGAGTCACCACTGTCTTCGGATGGTGCCATCCACACATAGCATTCCCAGCAAGTATCGACAGATGGCACTCCAGAGTGGGAAGCTGGGCTGATCCTCTTCCATCCATAACTCAGAGACACTCAGACAGATTGTAGCAAGACCAATGAACTCAACACCTTCCGTGCAGAATCAGTGCAGAGCCCTTATTGCCCAGTCTGGTTCTGTAGCACGGTCCAGGAGATATTTTCTCAATGAGTTTCACATAATGTTGGAGAAAGGAAAATTGAACCACGCACCAGGAAACACAAGAGAGTCCTTCACTCATTTCCTTGCTACTCCTGGACTCCAGCTGTGTATAAAATCATTTCCGACATTGTTTTCTGAAGTTAATTCATGATAAGATCTTGTTGAGGTGTGCACTACATTATAAAGACAACTTCTTTGGAACGTTAGTCGTAATATAGGCTTGTGACAGCCGAAGAGAAGGAAATTTTTCATTTCAGTCTACAAAGTCTGACTGCAAACCCACTGTGAATTAAGAATGTTTCCCTACCTAACTGAAGTGACTACAGTTCATAAGTAATTCATCAATTGTGAAGAGCTGTGGGAGGTTCTATGATCATGGAAAATGCAATAGAAATTCCAGTTAGTGCTTTCTTCTTTCCATCTCATTAAGTAACAATCTGCCAATGCATACACACAGTCTTCAGTTCTATGGCCCACTCCAAAACATAGTTAAATTGCGACACCACTTCAGTTTGCCCGCTACTGAAACACATCTCCATGTCTTTCTGCCTCCAAATTCAACTATTCCAATCAATACATGACCAGCCTCCCACCTTGCAGTAAACTTCAGTTCATTCAAACCTCTGCCACCCCTCTTCCCAACCCACAATCTTCAAGGAGAAAATACCAGAGATGGGGCCTCTAGGCAGCTGAAGGCACATGGTAGAACGATAAAAAAAGACTTGGGGTGAGGCTGGTTTGGGAAAGCATAGAGAACCTGGAAGCCTGGAGATGTTTCCAGGTATAAGGAAGTGCAAGGCCATTGAGGGAGCTGAAAAGAAAATAAAAGGTAATGTTTTTAAAATCAAGACGTTGCTGAAGAACCAGTGTTATTCAGTGAGAACAGGAGAGGTGTGAAAGTTCAGTGAGAATGGGAGAGGTGTGAAAGTTCAGTGAGAAT